TCAATTCTGCAAACAGTTCTAATTTACTATCGCTGTTCTCTAGCTGATCTAAAACCGCTTTTGACCTAAAGGGACGCTTTTTGGACGCCATGGATATTTTTTTCAGTTTCCAGGCAGAAAGAACAGTAAAAATGCAGGCAGGGCACAGGACAAAGCACTAGGGACAAAATGTATGTGAAATGGTTTGATACAGTAATGTTTTACTGTGTTATTTTAGTGTATTTAGTGAATGTCACTTTTTCACATTTTTTAATTTCCCGCCGTTCCATCCCCGTACGTCCTGACGTCGCAGGGAACGGAACCCAGAAGACAGATGCCGACATCGGCCGGAGGAGATGGCCGGGGACGCTGCAGGAGGGACATCGCGGGAGTGAAGGACAAGGTAAGTGAAGAAGAGATCCCGGAGCAACACTGCAAGGTATTCCCGAGTGTAGCTCGGGGTTACCGCTTGTGGTGGTGAAACTTTACCCTGAGCTACACTTAAAGAAGGTATCCTGCACTAGGCTCACAGCAGCACTTTTGTTTCTTTGTCTCCAGTCTCTTCCAATCGAGACAATAAAGGTGGCTGGGTTCAGTGGTGCGCATTATTCCATTGTTAGATTCGTACATAAACAACAATACAAATTCATAGTTTGTGAACCTTGCATTTGACGAATATTTAGTTGGGCTGTTTGCAATAATTATAATTGCAGCACAGAATGTGGGACCATTAAAGTTGAATAATTGACCAAAATAATGTCTGTACTTTTTTGTCTAGTAGCGTCTTGCTTGCAGCTACTGCTCTGATATAGTCGGGTGAACCTGTCATTTCTGGGTCCAGCTTGCATGATCAATATCTCAATGGCTTATTTTTTTTTCTATTCTGCTCTTTGTGTAGAAACTCCAGTTTCATGTGCTAAAAGACAACCTTTTCCTGGCAACTTTATAATTTCTGTTTACTTTCTTTGTTGTTAGTTTTAGCTAGATAACACACAAGTCCTTAGTTTCGGTCTTACATATTTTCCTGATGTCACAAAATATTATATTATAACAATACCGTACGGTCATGCAGAGATGTCCATAAATCCAAAGTTTTCTACATCTTAACAATGCACTTACAAGGAAAAGAGATGCATCATTTCACAGTCCACCCATTCTGCTTTGGATTCAAAAATAAAAATAAAAACAAAAAGTACCAACAATCTGTATATGAAGGAATAGAAAAATCATCAGCTAGATCAAAAACTATAAAACAGACGGCTGCAGGAGGCATCTATCCTAACAGTGTGTGTGGGCTTGGTGAGATGGGTCTGTAATTGTATTTATTACTCTCACATCATGGACCACACATCAAATTATTATCAGACCTTTAGATTTAATTTTTATCCCGTCCTAAGCTCTGTTAAGTATTAAGGCAGCTGCAATATAACCACCTCATGTTAATCTAAAGTAACCCCATATTACAAATTTTCCCAATAACCTGTATTCCATTTCTAACCAAAGGTTGTCAAACCAATTTAAATATATCTATATCATTAATAAAATTAACCTCATATCAGAAATTAATACTTGAGTGATAATCTCAATATCACGCCCTACTTTCAATTACACAGATACATCTCAATAAAGGAGGATGCTTTACCTCATTTCCCTTTTTTAAATGCACCGTTTCCAAAGGATATTTAATTTGTGTTGATTTATACTGTATGCACTTTTAAACGTAACCTTCATTTTACCATATTTGGTAAAAGAGATTCAAAATAACTGTGATCATATTGTTCATCAGATTAATTCAGCCGGCACATAATGTTACTATTTTTTTTACTAGTAGTCATATCTTGGTGCCTATGCCAGATTATCACACATCTCATCCCAGCACATTCCTCTCATGAGACAGAGAGGGGGAACTAAAAGGCCCAGCACACCCATTCATGAACATACATGATTATCTCTCTAAAATTGCTTACATTTTTCCCATTTTTACACAACATATGCATGTCATTTTCTCACTTTATTTGAACTATCTTCATAATTTCCCTGCCTAAGTTAGTTTTACCTCTCTAAACTCTGCTTTCCCTGTTTTGTTCTCTGATATCCCTTCATCCCATGTACTGTAATCCCGTACTCAATTTACTGCTCTTATGATCAGACGGGCAGTCATTGTGCTCATCCCATCTTCCTTCTCTGACCACATTTTAAGTATTCTGTTTGGGGTAGGGCCAATAATTATAGTATATATATATATATATATACCATTTGGCTCTCATCTCTGTTTGTTTTTGGCTTTTTTTCCATGTTTTAGAATGTACTGGTTGTGTACCTTACCCTACATTCTTAGCTTAACATCAACATTTCCCCGTATGTCTGCATGATTCCTATTCCTGTTGACTCAGTAACCCTGTTACCCGTTGTGGATCTCTGTCCACTTATTTATCTAAAATCTCAGTATAGGCGGAACCGTAACACTGAGGGTACCCTCTTACCGTTCATTCCCTTACTTAATTTACAGCCCATAATGACTGGCCAGTCTTCTCTCTACTCAGGATGTAACATGTTTACGAATGGACTGCCCCACACCTCTGATCCCCATTGTGACATTTAGCGGGGGATCTTCTCCTCCCTTCTAGCTGTTATAATTTTTTTTTAAAAACTCACTCATTCACAGTGTTCTGTGAATGGGAAAACTACAATTTCCAACAGCCTTTGTGGCTTTTGGCTTGTAGTTCTCAATGAACTACCACAGCGTTCCACAGTGCTGTGGTAGTTCATTGAGCCTTCCTGTCAGTATCTGCTTGCCTGTATGAGATGTACGAGCAAGCAGACATATTGACAGGTCAGAGGGAGACCTGAATGACACCAGCGATCTGCTGTTCCACTGGTGCAATGCGTTAGAGGCTCCAGAAACAAAAAATAATAAATACACATTTTTTCCCCTGTAAAAAAAAAAATGTACATTTATTAATTTTAGTTAAAAGGTGAACTTATCCTTTAAGGGGAGTAAAATAAGTACCCTTTGTCCTGAAAATGCCTTACTGATCAAGGAAGTCTGATATCTCAAATATAAGCAAAGGGCTTACCTCAGCTGGCTGATAAATAGAAATTCCCAGATCGTCTCAGCCACCTCGTTTCGGATTCTCAGAATCCCCTCCTTGGCAAAGCTTGCCATCTGTTCTGGACATTAATACTGAAATTTGCTAGATTGGCAACTCCTATCCTCATGTTGATTAGTGGTTTATTAAAAATAAATAACTACTGCAGTAGGGAATAGACAAAAAAAGATAAACTCTGCATCTTTTCAAATAACTTTTCTGTTTATTCGGTGCAAATGAAAGTCTTATATACACAAGATTATGTAGGTATCACATTAATATTATAATTTTACTTTTATGATAACAAGGGGCGTTACATAGGCAGACTAATTTCTAATCAGGATTTGAAAGAATGCAGACATGTAATGATAACATTATTAGTGCTGTGTGTGCCATGAGTGCAGTGTACAATATATAGGCAAACATATAAAATAGAATACACTTTTATACAGAATTAGCAATTTCCTTTACAGCGACCTACGTGTTTGCCTTTGCGTGTGAGCCCTGGGGGGGCATTTAAAATTGTTTAATATTTTATTATTTTAGTTAAAATTTCTTTTTTTACACTTTTTTTTTTTGTTTTTTTAATTAGAAATAACATTTATTGAATACTGTAAACCAAGACAGATTCCAGAACTTCTGCGTCACTATATCAAAATACAGCAGATCCTGTTTCTTTGGAGCATACAATATTAAAAGTTACATGATGAAACACAGGGACACACCCCAGCTGAAATGGTCTGACCAATGAACGATCTACAGGAAAACCAGACAATCAGACATTTAATCAACCTTAACCCAACAGCCTATGCAAAATGAACTCCACTGGTGCTAGACCTGGTATAGACAACCATCCATCCCACTGTTAAATTTGGCAAGACAGTTCCTATGTTGCTATATGAGTTTTTCATAGCAAAGAGTGGTGCCCATCTGAGTAGTCCAGGCTTGCGGGGATGGAAGAGAGGGACTTTTCCAGTGCACTAAAAGTACTTTTTCGGGCTTGAAAATAACTCTAGAAATAACCTGTTTATTGAGAGGGTCAGGGATCAGGGGATCTGGGATACCAAATATACAGGACAGTGGGTCCAGTAAAAGATTTTTTAAAATGCTTGATTTAGGGTATGGATAACAGTATCCCACTAGCTGTGCAACTTGGGGCAGCGCCACAGCATGTGCATCAAATCCTCATGATCCCTTCCACATTTAGGGCATATAGAGGCAGGCACACTGTCTCTTTAAAATTTTTTTATCAACTTTATTGCTTTCACGAGGGATGAACAACATCCCCTGTCATTGCATGGGCTGTGATAGGTCCTCTTAATGGAGAGATCTGAGGTCTATTAGACTCCCTTAAGAGCTGGTTCTGGCCTGCTCAGTAGGTTGTTTTAAACAAAAAAAAAAAATGCCTGGATGCATTACTAAAAGGGGGAGGGTGGGTGTCAGCACCAGTCTTATAAGTCTTACGATTGGAGAAGAGCACACTGAGTTCCCAGCACTGCTAGAGAACTGACCACACTATGCTCTCCTGCCTAATGTATTCAGTTTTTAATAGGAAAGCTAAGAGATTGGCAGAAACATCAGGGATTTCACACGAAGGAAGCAATACAAAGAGATAAGGATACTTTTTTTCATACATGGTACAGCAGGCACATATCCAGAATATATCAGGTTGGGCTTACATATTCTTTAAAGAATATCTTCGCATGACCCCCTTCACAGCCATTCACTGGGATTACCAGTGTACTGCTGTTTCTGCTGTAGTTCTTACACAGCTGAGATCAGAGGATGTGTGATCACTTCTAAAAAAAAAAAAAAAAAAAAAAAAAAAAGGGGAAAAATGCGTTTATAATTTCTTTTATATGTATAAACAAATATTTTTTCCTTTAATCTCTGTTCCTTAAAAATGAGAGTTTACATATACTTTAAACTGTATGTTTAGCCCAAACATCTTTTTTTTTTTTTTTTTTTTGTAGTTTTGGATACAGAACAGTTTCCCTTGTCAGGTTTTTCTTTATCTGTCTTTGTTTCTACTGGACAGATAAACCCTCCCTTTGTCCTGGAAAACAGAGGTCCAACAGTCTACAAAGTGCCCTCACATTGTAGAGATTTTACTCACCTGCTGCTGTGTTTTTTGTACATGAAAATATAAAAAGAAAATTGACTGTGGTTCTAAATCTTCTGTAAACTATCCAGAATTATTTTTCTGGTTAGAGATACACCTTATAATCCCAGATGTGGCATTAGGGTAAAGCAACCACAGCCCTCAATGTTGTTGTACTATCCTCCCTGGCCTGC